CACTCTTTCCTCACAATAGCAAACAATGCACGGTATCACCCTTCGTGCTTTAACACTCTTCCTCACCCAAACAACAATCACAAACAAGGGCAAGGGAAATAAACAAGAACATATAGGAATTCCGGCAAGGGAACAACAATTAAACAATTAAACCCCGGCAAGGGAACAACAATGAAATAATTAGATCCCGGCAAGGGAACATTCCAATAACTCTTTCTCTGTCTTTAAATTTTACTTCATAACTCGCTTTACCACTTGAGCCAATGCTCCAAAGGGTTCAATCATCTCATATACTTTCACATTTCATAATATAACTCGAGCCAATGCTCCAAGATGTTCAAAGGACTCAATTCCTTCCACAAACTTTTCACAACAACTAGAAATCATCACCAAGGCATGAAGAATACAATGAAATCAAGATATTCACAATATAAAGACTCATGGTCATGCTAAACACCAATGTATAGATACTCGTCACCATGCCTATACGTCGTACACGACTAATACCACATAGCAGATAGGACCCCACTCCTAATCCCTCAAGATAAGGTTAGACCAAACGCTTACCTCGATGCCCTGAACACAACTCAAGTCTCAATTATAGTTTTACCCCTCGATTCCACCGCCAATTCGCTCGTATCTAATCACAAATTACTTAACTACATCAATAAACACTAAATGAATCAACCCCAATGCATGAAAATGAGTTTTCCAAAGTTTTACCCAAAAAGTCAAAAATCGCCCCGGGCCTACGTGGTCAAAACCCAAGGTTCGAACCAAAACCCGATTACCCACTCCCCCACGAACCCAAATATATAATTTGTTTTGAAATCGGACCTCAAATCGAGGTCCAAATCCCCAATTTTTAAAAACCTAGGTTCTACCTAAAACACCCAATTTCCCCCATGAAAATCTTTGATTTTAGGTTGAAATCATGTTAAAAGATGTTAATGATTGAAAGAAATGAGTAAAAACTAACTTACAATTGATTTGGAAGAAGATTGTTCTTGGAAAAATCGCCCAAAGGAGTTGTGTTTTGAAAATGGTGTAAAAATGACTTAAAAATTGGCTAAGTATAGAAAATTGCAGGTCTCTGATATGGGAATTGCGAACCCCGACCTCTGCAGATGTGGGGAATGCGAAACAGGGTTCGCATTTGCGAACCCTTCATAATTTCCCAGCTTTCGCATTTGCGAAGCAGTAGTCGCAATTGGGACTTCGCATTTGCGAAAAGGCAGCTCGCATTTGCAAGGAAGAGCGGCCTGGGCTGGCTTCGCATTTGCGATCCAGCCTTCGCATTTGCGAAGCCTGCAGGCCTGAACACACCAGCAAATTTTTAAGTTCAAAATGCACCCCGTGGCCTAACCAAAACTCACCCGAGCCCTCGAGACTCCAAACCAAATATACACACAACCTCAAAAATATCCTACGGACTTATTCGTGCGATCAAATCGCCAAAATAACATCATAAACATCGAATTAAACCTCAAAATCCATGAATTCTTTCAAACTTCATAAAACATCAATTTTTCCAATTTAGGTCTGAATCACGTCAAACGACGTCCGTTTTCAACCAAATTTCACAGGAATGACTTAAACCATATATAAGACCTGTACCGGGCGGCTGAACCAAAATACGGGCCCGATACCAACACATTCTAATCAATTTTCATTTCAAATTTCCTTAAACAATTTCAGAAAACAATTTTACAAAAAAATTCATTTCTCGGGCTTGAAACCTCGGAATTCGATTCCGGGCATACGCCTAAGTCCCATATTTTCCTACGGACCCTCCGGGACCGTCAAATCACGGGTCCGGGTCCGTTTACCCAAAACGTTGACCAAGGTCAAATTTATTCATTTTAACATCAAAACTTAGCATTTTTCACAGAATTTCATATTTAAGCTTTCCGGCTACGCGGCCGGACTGCGCACGCAAATCGAGGCGACTCTAAATGAGGTTTTCAAGGCCTGGGAGTCATAGAATTTAGTTAAAAACAGGTGATGACCCTTTGGGTCTGTACTAATTAGTTTTCGTCCATTAGTTGAAGCCCTTTTTAATTTAATTGTTATTAATCATTATTCTATCTTCACTTAGTTTCTAGGTTTTGCACTTGTAAACACTCATGGATATATGTACTCTCACAGTTTTCATACAATAGAAAAGGAAATTAATTTAACTTTAGTGAAAGTGAAGATCACAAAATATATATTGTACACACACAAAACATCTCCATCCAGAATATATGAAACAGATATCACATCTCAAACCATGATTTCAGACCATGCATGCATGGGCATACGCGATAATGCAAGCATCTTATCTTGATAAAGGAAAAAGGTGACAAATACTCTAGGAAGGGATATTCAATATCTACAGATCAAATATAAAGAATGCACTAAAAATTAATCTTTACTCAATTGCACTTAGTTACTTAGGCCGATTCATTATATGTATTAGTTTGACTATGGACGAAATGAAGAAAATAAATTAAGGAGACTTTTGAATCTTTTAGTATTAAGGTAAAGAAGTGTATAATGTTACCAAAATGGTTTTTGAATTTTGTTCTAAAACATGTCATATATGTGATGTTTGAAATTAAAAGTTACTAAATATAGGAAATAATAACCTTTTCTAAACAGATACAAAAGGAAAGTAATCCACATAACTTGAAACAAAGGGAAGTATAACCTAACAAATTAATTAAAAGCGTAGGTTTCAACAGTCAAAATCAGTAAATAGGTAGAGACCAGATTTTTGGCTTTTGAATATTTTAGGCTATGTGATGTCTTAAAGTAATTTCCAACTTTCCTTTAAAAGTTGCATCTGTTAGAAAAAAAACTTCTAACTTCGCTGCGAAGTAACACAATACATAAATATAACAGTTGGGTGCACTAAAATTTATCTATTGCACGCAATGTTTCTCTGTAGTTGTTTCCACGTTGTGAAGTTCATAAAGTATATAAGAAAAATTATGATTTTGAACTAAGTAAATCAAATGATTGGTGGTAGAATCACAAAGTAAATCCCATAAAATTCAACCTGGAACCGTCTTTGAAAAAAAAAAAAACGTTTTTGAAGTTCAACCTGATTCATAAAGTTCACGAGTTTACTAATATCTTCCTAATAAAACTTAAGGTGTATTCGAGCAATTAAGAATATTAATCTTGCACCATAGCTAATTAGAATCAGAGCTTGAAAATACCTCAGCGAAAAGGACGCAGGGGCAAAGCCAAACTTTGGTTAGGGTCGTCAATTGACCACCCCTTGTCGGAAAATTATAACGTGTATATAGGTAAAATATCAGGTTTTAGAGATACATAACATAAATTGAACACCCTTTGTCGGGAATCTTTTTTTACTTCTTTTAAATTTGAACACCCTTAAAGAAATTTGTGGCTTCGCCACTTAAAGGACGTATTTGACAGATTCCAAACAACTGGAATAAGTTATCTTTAAAATGCTTAAATCTTAACCCAAATGTAGAACAATGTTAACTAATAACTATACATGGGCCATAAAATAATTCTTTCGCCAGATTCTTTTTGGAAGTGCTCAAGTATTTGGAGCTCTTTTTCAACCTATTTGAACCATGGTCAAGATGGTGTTCTTTGAATAATTTGATTACACTAGTGATTAATTTCAACAAGTACATATATGGAAATCACCTAAAAGTTGATCACTGAAGGAAAATAAATTGTTTGCCAAATTGATGGGGAGAAGTAAGCAAGAATTTAATTAATTTCCTGTGAAAAGATGGGAGATATCTTGATAGGTTTTCCTAGTTATTTTTTTTTTTTTTTTTTGGTTTCCCACCCGATATCCGGTACTCGCGTAGGGCCACATTCGGGGGGAAGCGCTACCTAACAAGGATTTTTTCATACCCAGGGCTCGAACTCGAAATCTCTGATTAAGGGAAGAATAGTCTCATTCACCGCACTACATCCTTTCACTGTGATAGGTTTTCCCAGCTATTAGCTATATAGGGGACTATTTTTCTGTGTCGGTGCATTTATCTTAGCTACTACTCTCTCGGTTCTATTTGGACGTTGTACTTTTTTAGTCTCTTCAAAAAAAACAATTGTACATTTTTACTTAGAATTAATTAACTTAAAATTTTTTTCGTTGAATTTAATGAGATGATTTATATTTATACAAATATATATGACTTATTTTAAATTACAAATTTCGAAAGTCTTTTTTTCTCTCTTAAACATTGTATATAGTTAAACACGTCACGTGAAATGAGGTGGATGGATTATAATTCTTGGTGATGATATGATTACGTGCAAGCTACCCTACGGGAACAATTTACAAGTTTGTATTTATCAAACTTATACTCATTCGTCCAGAAAATTAAGTTAGGGTCAAATTTTTCGATAGTATTTGGTTAAAGTATAAAAAGAAAGTGTTTAATCTTGAAATTGAAAAGATATTTAGAAGTTGAGTTTTGGTGCAAATTCTATATCAAATTCTGAATCTTTTTGAAGTAAAATTTATGTATCCATAAAAAATAAGTTACTGTAAAGCACAGTTCTTATGATCCATATTAAAAAACATTTAAACCAGTAGCCAAATAAAAATTATTTGACTCCTCAAATAATATTGCACATTATATATACTTTTTTTAAAATATATCTTGACTTTTATACAATTATATTTCAAAAGAATTTTAACACAATTAGGTTATCTAAAAAACAAATAAAGGTAAGTACTATCTTAACATTTATAGAAAACTAGTTAACTAGAAAATAATATAGACAACCAGTTAAAAATATACTTAAATTACACAATGATGTTTGGATAAATTGACTATTATTCACTTATTCTCTCTCCACCTCCCCCCATTAATTGTGCTTCATATTAGGCTCTTAATTAAGCATCACATCTACTTGCAGAAGAAAGAAAAAAGAAAGAAAAGAAAAAAAATCAAAAAGATATTCGCCAGCTTGCTCCAACTAAATAATACCTTCTCCTCCAGCATATAAGGAGCTAAAAATGCTCTCTCTTTTACTCAAACCATACCCTTGACTTAGGTCACTTTCCCTTCTTCTACAATTCAATAAGCAGCAGTTTACAAAAATGGCCACTAATTGGACAACAAAGCAAAACAAGAGGTTCGAGGAGGCTTTGGTCATGTACGACAAGGGCACTAGTTCTGAAAGATTGCAAAACATAGCCAAATATGTTGGTGGGAAATCAGTAGAGGAAGTTAGAAGGCATTATGAGCTCCTTGTTAAGGATATAACCCAAATTGAAAATGGTCAAGTCCCTTTGCCTAATTACAGGACTAATACTGCACCAGAAACCAATGCTAGAGGAGGATATCCTAATGAACAGAGGTAAATGCTACTTCTATCTTTCATTTTTCACTTCATTATATTTTCTCTAAGGTCAAGCATTAAAGCTAACAACAACCCTAACGTCTAAACTATATACAATGAACAGTGTAAAATTGTCTACATTACCACTCTACTTTAGTTAATATGTTGTGATAGATTTTCTGGTATTTTATATATAGATAATTCCATTTATTAAGAAGGGTTACCTACAATTATCGTCTAACTGATAACGTATATTTTTTTTTTTTTTTACATTATAAAATGTATAGAAGTTCGACTTTTAACGGTGCACGGCTTTTAAACACCATCACGCTAAGCAGTGGCGAAGCCACACGGTCATAAGGGGAATGTTGTTCACCCTTCGTCAAAAATTGCATTGTGTATATAGGTCAAATATTACGTCTTAGATGTATATAACATATACAGAATATTTTTTGTCGGGAATTTTTTTTTTTACTTCTTTCAAATTTGAATACCCTTGGGGAAATTCCTAGCTTTGCCACTGACGCTAAGATATAACCTACGTACAGCAATAGGGGGATTGACTATAATTATCCTAATTTCATAACCTAAAATTGCAGTAAATACCTTGTTATAACTGGTTAACGATATTGATAGTGTAAAAAATTTAACACATGTAAGTTAAATTAAATCCTAAAACTTAGGGAAGATTGAGCATTTTCAACTTCTGCATGTAAAGTTAAGACCTGTAGTATATCTTATGAAGTCTTCATTTTGCGATTAACGCATCCATGTCAGATGAGTTTAGGTCTTTCATATGATTACTCTTGAAAACACACTAAGCTTACTGACAAGTGAGAAGTTAAATTTAGGTAAAATATACAATAGAATGTATAATTGCGTACACATAACAGAATGTATAAGTGTAAAGTTAAATTTACTGTAAAGTTAATTTTACCAAGAGATTTAAGTTTCAATCCATTGCACACATAATAGAATGTATAATTGTCAAATATTTTTAAGATCGCATGCTTATGGTCATCTTAATCTCTCCAATCAATAATCTCTAATATAATCTCTTAAGTACTAGTACTATTAATTATTTTATGATAATATAATTAACATCTTTTTCTTACGTGGATATATCTCCACTTTTCTTTGCTTTTATTCTTTGAGTCAGTTGCATATCCTTAGAAGGATGACGATTTAGACATCCACATGCAAAAAGGTTTCTTTTATATTCACCTTTGGCTTAAAAGAAAAGCTAACTTCGATGATCTAGTCTTGACATAAGCAATAAAAATCGTAGTATTATCTTGGGATCTAATTATATAAAATGACCGTGTGAAAATTTTTAAACTATCATTTTCAGCAAAAATTGTAAAAACTTGAAAAATTGGTATAGTTTTAAACTCATATTTCTTAAAAACTCAAAACCTTAAACCATTAAGTCAAAATATTGAAACTGTCTCACATAGCCACGAGGATATAATGGATTCATACAGATACTTCAACAGTTCGTACTTTTTTATAATAAAAAAAATTGATTGTTTATTCTGTTCACAGGCTTCTGAAGAATCTATCCCTACAGTGAGAAGAAACTTGGACTGATCATACTCAACAGTCAACACCATATATCTAAATATCTGTATAAAATTCCAAAAATCTGGATCCTTAATTGTAAATTCATGTTTAAGCGTTTTCTGTCTTCTGTTTTAATTAAATTGTTGCCCAATTAAGAGAGAAGGAAATCATGTGTAACTTCTGTCTTTCAAGTTTCAGCTACGTACCTTTGTTCCTGTTTAAGCTATATAAATTGAGATTTTCTAGCATTATTCGTTCCAGCAGGCATTTTATATTTTACAACATGGGATATATGAATTTTTCATCGTCCCACGCATAATAGAGATTTGTGATTTAATGAAAAAAATAAAATATTTAGAACATCCATTTTTCAGGGGAAAAAAAAAACTTTATCACGAAAATCAGTGTTGGAGACAAAATGTTGCAACCTATTACCCAATATGTAAATCTAAATACAAATGATATATATATATATATATATATATATATATATATATATATATATATATATATATATATATATATGAATAATGGAGACTCTATAGCTAGTTGAAAAATAGTCGATGTACAAGAAGCAAAATTCTGGTATCCACAAATAATTAATTTGGATATTTTTATAATACAAATAACCAAAACATGAATGGTATGCGTACAAAGACAAAAATTTAAAACTAAAGCCACGTTTTAAAGTCACTTATTTTAGGGAGCAAAAAAAAAAAGAGGTAGTTTTGTAGCATTTAAATTTTAAGTTATATATACTCACAATGCAGTTTAACATGTTTTAACCTGCAATTATTTTTTTAAAATGACGTGATTACATAAATATTTTATACGTCAAATGCATAGAACTTAACTCAATTTTGTGTACACCTATTAGCATATTATTTTGTTTTTTATTTAGTTAATATCAATAGCTGTAACGATCCGGCCGGTCGTTTTGAGAATTAACACCCCGATCCCCTATTAACTGCTTCCCCCGTATCTATTTCTGCTATTGTGACTTGCCAGGATGATTCGTTTGGAGTTTCGGAGTGTTTTGGGACACTTAGTCCCTAAATGAGAGCTTAAGTCTTAGATTGGACCATATTCGGAACAGTGTAAAGACGGCTCGGAATGGAATTCCGTCGATTCCGTTAGCTCCGTTGGGTGATTTTGGACTTAGGGGCGTGTCCGGATTGTATTTTGGAGGTCCGTAGCTTATTTAGGCTTGAAATGGCAAAAGTCGAATTTTTAGAGTTTTGGGCCGGTAGTGGAATTTTTGGTATCGGGGTCGGAATCTGATTCAGAAGTTGGAATAGGTCTGTAGTGTTCAATATGACTTGTGTGCAAAATCTGGGGTCAATTGGACGTGGTTTGGTTGATTTCGGCATCGGTTGTGGAAATTTGAAGTTTCAAGTTCATTAAGTTTGGATTGGAGGGTGATTTGTGTTTTTAGCGTTGTTTGATGTGATTTGAGGGCTTGACTAAGTTCATATGGTGTATTAGGATTGGTTGGTGTATTTACTGGAGGTCCGGGGCCTCGGGAGAGTTTCGGGTGTTTAATGGATCAAATATTGAAGTTGAGTTGTTGCTGAAGGGATCAATCATCTGGTATTTTCGCCTCGCAGAAACGAGGATGAGATCGTAGATGCGGAGCCTGGGAAGTTAATGAAATTCCACGGGTGCGAAGCTATAGCCGCAGAAGCGGTACCACAGGTGTGGTAATGGGCTCGCAGAAGCGATTTAGCTGGGCAGAAAAGAGAGGAAATCGAGGGTTTGATGCATTCTCTATTTTTGAACCTAGAGAGCTCGGATTGAGGCAAAATTTTGAGGAATTTTCAGAGGAAACTTGTGGGTAACGATTCCTTACTCGATTTTTGGTTGCATTTCATTAATCTATTGTTGTTTTCTTCATTTAATCAAGGAATTTGAGTGAGAGAGTTGGGAAAAGGGGGGAAACGTTCCCCAATTGAATTTCTGAGTTTCGAGTGGATTTTGACATCGGATTTGGATAATTTTGGTACGAACCCCTTGTCGGGGGTGTAGTAAGAGAAAAAAGGAGGTGTGACACCCCCAGCAGCCACGATATCGCAATTAGCTATCAGTTATCAGCTATCAGCTAAGAAATTTCATTACTATTTACCTTTCATTTATTGCATTGCATAAGGCTACCATTCTGCCTTCCGAGACTAAGCACTGTCTCCATCTGCATTTCTGGCATTGCATAAGGCTACTATTCTGCCTTCCGAGACTAAGCACTATCTCCATCTGCATTCTTGCATTGCATAAGGCTACCATTCTGCCTTTCGAGACTAAGCACTGCCTCAATCTGCATTCTTGCATTGCATAAGGCTACCATTCTGCCTTTCGAGACTAAGCACTGTCTCCATCTGCATTTCTTGCATTGCATAAGGCTACTATTCTGCCTTCCGAGACTAAGCATTGTCTCCATCTGCATTTCTGCATTGCATAAGGCTACTATTCTGCCTTCTGAGACTAAGCACTGTCTCCACCTGCATTCCTGCATTGCATAAGGCTACCATTCTGCCTTCCAAAGTTAAGCTCTACCTCAATCTGCATGGCTGAAATATCGCCACCTTTATTTACCCTTGCATGGCTGAAAGATCGCCATATTTATTTATGTCTTGGATCGGCTGGAATATCGCCACTTTATTTACGCTTTCATGGGCTGAAAGATCGCCACCTATCGCATTGCATGGGCTGAAAGATCGCCAAATTTGTCCAAAGGCGTCATTGTTCGAAGGCACCATTCGCGTAGCCCGAGAACGCCATGCCATGGCCTGAGGACCCCTTTTAATCTCTTGCATATCATTATTCAAAGGCATCATAGTTCGGAGGCATCATTCTCATAGCCTGAGAGCATCATTTCATAGCCTGCGAATCCTATATTATATGCTTCGTGGCCCAAGACATCATGGTCTAAGGACGTCATCCTAACCGTCCGAAGACAGCATTCATGGTCCGACGGGAATTTGCATCACGTTTACTTTTTCTGCAAGATATACGCTTGTATTGCTTGTTTGCAGGTAAACTGGCTAGCAACAGCCGTCTCAGCAGGAGCGACCCCGCTCCAGTTTCGGCAGCCCTGGCAGACTTTAACCATCCATCCCAACCTAAATATCGCGTCCGTTCTTGAAAGATCTCCATCGGCATGTTCCGCCGTCGGATCCTAAACTACATATGGCCTGATTCCTGTAAGACCAAGGATATGTAGGCAGCTCAGGAACCAGAGCACGGTCAACCTCTTCAAACCATTTCACTCGGTCAAAATTGGCCATCATATCTTTACCCGACAACTCTTTCATCCTTCCCGGGTAAAGAGGGGCAGCTGTTGATACCCAATTTTCCCCCGTATATTTTTATATGCAAAATACGTTCAAAATAGTATATATATGCATATATAAGCACGTCCAAGTGTTTTATTATTTTTTCCAATTTTTAAAAGATTTTTCAACCAATTTATTGCCCTATTTTTAGCAGTACAAAAACCAATAATTGTTCCCACATTATCCTTTTGGTGATTCAGCTATTGTATTCTCATATTTATACCAATATATAGCTAAGGTAATTTTTGCATATTTTTATAAATTGATTTGGTATTTTTAAAGCTAAATCGCACTAAATTGCAATTTTAGAATATATTAAGAATTAATTGCATTTGTAATTACAAATTTAATTCCAGTATTTGTTAATCTAATATTTATATACTATTAATTAATTTAGCACCTTTAACCCAATTAACCCAATTTCAATCTCAAACCAGACCAGCCCAATTCCTAAATTACCCGACCCCTAACCCGTTAATAAAACCCGTCCGGCTCCCTTTTTGATCCAGGTCGTTGATCATTTTGATCAACGGCCATAATTACTCCTTTCCTTTTTAATTTCCCAAACACCCTAACCCTATATATATATATATATNAGCTGCCTTTGAACCCCTTCGTCTCTCAAACTCTCGCGAACATTCCTGGAACCCTAATCGTCTCCCACCGTCTTCAACCTCGAAACCCACCAGAACCATGGCTTCTCCGTCCATGAGAGTCTAATATTCACCTCCTATCGCTCCTATGTGCTCGATACTTGAAGATTCGAGGCCAGACCTCGAAGGTCTTCACTCAGACCTTCGCCGACTCGAGGTTTCACGGCCATCTCCGGCCTTGTTCCAGCGTATCCTAGTCTTCTAAGCCTGATTCTAACTTCTCCGACTCAGATCGGTGGCTTTTCAAAGCTTTCTCATTCTAGGGTTCTTCTGAAACCCTAACCATTCGAGGTTTTCTCCAATTCTTTTTAGATTTGTTGTGTGTCTATGCTCTACTTGAGTTTTCAAACGATTTCCCTAATTTTTCTTTTGAAAATTACTTTCAAAACCCTCCCTTTCCGATTTAGGGTTTTCTGGAAAGTGTTTAAGTGTTTTATGATTTTTCTTCTTTGTTATTCGTATTGTTCTCTTACTGTGTTTCCTATATCATGTTCTCGCATGCTTTCTACTGTGTTCTTGTGCTTTTTCTCTTGTCATGTTCTTGTATGTTCTTTTACTGAGTTTTACACTCCGTTCTTGAATGTTCTTTACTGTGTTCTATATGCTCCACGCTTGTGTTTCTTCTACCATATTTTTCATATTATGTTCTCATGTGTTTTCTACTATGTTCTGGTATTTCTTCTACTATGTCCTGCTATACTACACCTTTCCGCTGTGTTCTTTGATATTTTCCTTCTACTGATCCTTGTTTAGGTCTCTTCTGAGAAAAAACTTTCTTAAGCATGTTTCTTCTACTCTTTCTACTGTATATACATGTTTTCTTATTAGTTTCTGAAAGAAACCCCTGAGCTGGTTTCGACTACTTGCCTCCTCATCCCTGTATTTGATTCTAGGTGGAAACCCTAGAATTTGGGGATTCCGCCGAGGTTTGATTATGTGAACTAGGGTTTTGTTTTAGAACCCTTAACTCCTTCAGACTGACTTTGAGTCTCTGAGCTGAGTTTGGACATCTTTTGTACAATTCTGAACTTTTGCTAAAACTCTCCTACACTGGAGTTTCAACTAATTTTACAATGGCTCAACAAGTTTCTTTCATGTTTAACGTGTCTGTATGATTTATATGTGATGAATCCTTCTTCAAAAAGGTTTTCAAACTAGTGATTGACTCAGAATTCCTTTTTAATATGTCTAATTGATTGTTTGCTGATTTTCCTTAAGTTAAAACCTTTTCCATCTTTTTGACTTGGTTCATTCATACCAAATCTCAGA